GCAGCTTGTGCTTTATTTGCTGAAGATAATCTGTGCTAGCTGCATCGAGGAGCCCCATGCTCCAGAGATGCTAGAGACCAAACCGGTTCCCAATAAGGAATCAACCTGAGCTGGTGGGAGCTGGTTCAGCTGACCCAGCCACAAGCCAGGGGAAGATCTCTATATGGACACTACTACCACCGGACAAATCCTTCCCATCATGAAGTACATGAGAAAGGAATACAAAGGTGGTACACCCTGCAGCTGTCTGCCCTGTGAACTGAAGACTCCAAAGAGAGATCCTGGCTGTGCAGCAAAAGCACATCACCCTAGACAAAAAGACACCAGCAAAGACTAAAGCCCTCTGAAACCTCATTAACCTTTCAAGAAAGGGTTAAAATGTCAGGATAGGCAGTGGTGTTGCAACACAGTTTTGACATCACAACTGTAAAAAAAAAAAAATCAATTATATGATTTATCTGTTGCATGAGCACCCACGCAGGGCCAGATCCTGCTGCCACTAAGCTGCTGTTGAAATTAGAGCAGTGTTTTCGGCGCAGCCCAAACATCTGCGCGGCCACCAGGGAGTCGATGCCTGTGCAAGTGTCCTATGCTCCCTCGCTCCACTCCCTGGCGGATCCCATCCTGACCAGCAGTGGGAAGAGTGCTGCAGGAGCTGTCTGCACTCGCTGGAGAGCTACCCGGAAAATCCACGGGCTGAAGTTTGCGCTAAAATATTTACAAGCCCCTGTGCTTTTGAATTATACAAGAAAGAGGCAATCACAAGTCAGTTTTTACCCTTTTACAGCACAACTTAGCAATCAAATTGATTGCACCTTTTAAGCTAGTATGAACCCCCTTCCTGAGCAAAACCGTTTGTATCCACTTTTGCCAAGTACCTTTTTTTCAGTTGATATATAAACCTTTGAAAAACAAGTTTGAGGCGAGACTGACAACCTTGAAACCTCAAGAGCAGCATGGCATTGATGGGTGCCGCTCCCTGAGCTGAGTATTATAGATAGATTTTAATTTCATTTTAACAAAATAGCTGTCTCCAGTGGAAGAAGCATCAAGAGCTAAATGAGGACCCGTCTTGAGCTGAATCACGTTGAACAGACCTCGGCACTGTCATTGATTTTCTGGGAAGAAAAAAACTGCCTCTGGCTACTAAACCAAATTAGTAGTCACTGATGACCAATTATTTTGCCCCACTGTGAACGGAGAGGCGTACTAAAATTCCAGTTTGTCAGACCCAAGGCTCCCTTCTCAAACACCTTTCAACAAGCGTGTACCAAAAGTCCCTCAGATGGTTCTGACGCCTTCCTGTTTTCGGCAACTTCTCCTCCAAAGTTTTAATGAGCTGCTGCTCTGAGGATGGCCTGCCAGAAAGGGAACCCTTCCCAGCTCGGTGGAGCACTATTTGGCATGGCACAAATCACAGCTGTCAGAATTTATACACACATACACAAAAAAGTGTCAGCCTAATGTTTGCAAATTATAATTACCATTTCTCTTGCATGTCCCTGGTGCCTTCATTTTAGATAAATCCCAGCTCTGAGGTATCAGCTGCAAAGCACCGGAGGCTCATATCGAGTAGAATAGATTTAACTAGTTTGTAGCTCATTTAAGGCCTACACTGTTTTATTTTAATATTGTTAATACTTTATTATACTTTTTAACATTGTTTTCACAGTAAAATAGCCTATTAGGAGGCTGCAGCTTCTTTTCCAGGAGATTTCTGGCAGACTAGCATACCACATTGTATAACCGAGTTAGAAGGCACTTGTCATTTCAGTTGAAAATAGGTCTGTACCCTGACTCTTGAAAGTAAATTAGAGAGAGAGTCTATTAAAGAGACAGGAACTGTTTCAGGGATAATAGTTTTGAAAATGTGCACAGATAAATTTTAAAATATTTAGGAAATGTCAACATTAGAAGTGGCTCCAACTATTTGACTATAAAAGGAAGCAGCTGATTATTTTTTTCCACAATTATAAATAATTTGTTACATCCTATCAGAACTTCTTTCCTTTTCCTTTCTGTGGCAGGGTGCTTGTGCCAAAACAAGGAGATCTGAGTTACTCAGAACGAGGTGGATTTTAATCTGCAATAAGCGTTTTCAGCGGATGTTTCCCCCACTCTCCCCACAGCATCTGCAGATGATAACAGCAAAGTCCTCCCAGTTCAGAGGAGTAACATCTGGGCAGGGTGACAAAAGGGAACAGAACACACAAGCCGTTCATTCCTGTCCTTAAGTAACACCAAGGTGAGAAGACTTTTCCCAAAGGCCAGCTGCAAATGAGAAATACTGTCACGCTGCCAAGCAGCACCAATATTGGGGCCAAAATTCCCCGTCCACTCCAACAAGATCAGCGTTTGACCTACAAAGAAAAAGCTGCCTCACCGAAATTTCTCCGGTAACCTTAGTCAAAGAAGCGTGTTACCTGATACCCCCTGCTTTTCCCACTTTCTCAGTATTTCTTTCAAAGGAGGCAGGAAAACCAGACGAAGCCTCACGTCCTACAGCCCCACCAGACCTTATGTGTATAACTAAGCACATGAGTCATTCCTACCGATTTCAAAGAGGCAGTTCATGCGTGTATCATTCCAGGCATGATTCTATACTTTGCTGGATCAGGACTTAAATGCGATTAATCACACGGCAGGGAAGGATCTCTGAAGAGCATCAACCCAAATGTGTCCTTTCAAGCATTTACTTACAAGCCAGCTGTGGACTAATCAGTCACCAACTGGCTGGTCCACTGGAGATGGTAAAAGTCACCTCCATAGAGATGTGAAAACACATTCAACTACCACAGAAAAATCAATAATCAAACACTACAGACAAAGGCTCAAGGTTTTCTTGCATCCCTCCTGCTATTCCTGCACACCAGGAAAGCTCCTGCCTTGGAGAGCAAAGGGACAGGCCAAGGAAACAAGCCCACGTGCAAGGCTCACCATGTGCTTGTGCCAGAAATACCAAAATTTACACCACGCAATGAGACTGGAGACCCACTCGGACAATAAGACACTTGGCCACAGGTTTGCCACATCTTTTATCCTTTGTAAATATTTTGCTCAGCTCTGATCAGTATGAAATAGCAAACTGGAAGGGAAGGAGGGGAGAGAAGGGGGGACAACAAAGGGTAAACGTTGGTGTCACCTTTGGCACTGGGTGTCTCCAGATAACGGTCTGGAGCAGCACAGCTGATTGGTAAGCAAAGCCTTGAAAAGCCCTGCAGCATGTGATCTATGAAACAGAAGGTCTGCAGAAGGATGTCTCCTCTGATATGAATGCCCCCTTGGGATGTATATTGCTGGATTGCACATCTAGTATCATTAGAAAACACGGCCATAGATTAGGCTGTTTTGAAGCATGTGGCGTGCAATAATTAAGTAATAAAAGTCACCACAGGGGTGAAGGAACAAGAAACAGAAGAGTTACTATTTGCATACACACTGCCGGCGCTCTCTGTGATCGTCAAAGATTCTCCAGACTGCTAAAAGCTGGCTGCTACCGATTTTGGACCCACTCCTGCCAAAAGCCATGAAGCACCAGCTCGCTCTGTGGCACACGGGCGCTCTCTGCAGAAAACAACCTTCTGGTGGAATTGGTGGCCCAGAAGCAGCCCAGCAGTTAGCCCAAATCCCCAGTGCCCCGCAGTTGGTCCAGACAGGCAGGGAAAGCACTGCCTTTCTGTTCTGGGAACTACAGCTGAAGGCACTGTGGGCTACAGGTGGGAGCAGAGCTGGAAGTGATGGCTCCACAGTCATTGATTGCAGCTAAGATGGGAAAAGTCCCTCCCCAGCAAGGCGTGCAAGGACAAGGACCAATAAAACTTCAGATCAAGGTCCTCCATCACCTTCAAGTGTTTGCTTCTGGGGGGAAAAGAACAGCAGCAGGACCACAGCAATAAGTGATATGCTGTCCTCAAGGCAAGAACCCTGCTGCTGCCACTGCCAGTTCTGCCTCCCATGGTGGCTGATGAAGTTAAAGTATCCGCACCTGCAAGGAGCAAGACTCAACAATTTCAGGCTGTAGCTCTGCCACAACTTGGTCAGGTTAATGCCAGCTCAGAGCAGCTGAACAGGACGCTGGCCAACAAGCAACTGCCTTTTTTTTTTTTTTTTTACTATTTTTCTAGAACCATGGTCATCTGCAGCTCCCCTCTGCTGCTGTCTCCTCCTGGCCAGGATGCTCCCTGGTACCCTGTTTCAAGGGGCAAATACATCTGGTTTGTACAGCTGAGGCACTAGACCGGGGCTCAGCATTTGAGCTCCCCTTTCTGCTGCAGACACCTGACCATCTGCACCGAGTCCACTTTTATCCCTATTCAGATTGCTTACGGCAGCACTTATTCCTCTCACCCAACATATCATTGCATCTATTTGTGGCTTTTTGGTATACCACAGTAGTGCTATTTTAATAGCAAAAGCAGTGTTATTTTAGCAAAACACACTTTGCACCCAGTGGTTCTTCCCAGCTGCCATGGCTGTGTCAGTCTGGAGGGGACCCAGCCAGAGCTGCTCCTCTGAGCTCCAGGGTGGCAATGCAAAAGCCCAGCTCTCTGCTTCTGGACATTGCCGCATTCAGTGCTTCCATTATTCACCATTGGATACCAGTTGGGAAATGCTCTCCTGGAGCCATAGCAGGGCCCAAGGTTGAGCCACAGTCTTTGGTGCTCCGTGGTCCTTCCAGCACACCTGGGCTTGAACAGAGGTAGTGATACAGGCCTTATAAAAAAAGGTTGTGCAAAGATGGAACTTGTGCCCATCCTGGAGAATGCCCTAGCGCAGTCCTACTACGGGTTATCACAAGTGTGTGCAGGCTGTGGGGTATTAACTGCAAATGAATGTGGGTTGGAGTCTTTCTTGAGGAAGAGAAAGCCTTTCCCAGTGTGAGGGTTTATTCATGTTCTCACTAGTCACACTTTCCAGGAGCAGAGGTATGAATCAGTATGGGGAAGTAAAGAGAGGTATTACCCTGGAAATTATATTGTTGTCTTTTCAATGTTTTCCAGGCCTTGCACTCCCCTTTTTGACCTCCTCCAACACAAATATAAGGAGCTGTGGATGGAGCAGCAGAGAGCCCTGACAGCAGCCCAGCGAGTGGAGAAGAAAAAGGTGATAATACTCCAGCAGCGCTTTCCCTTGCTGTGCGCAGCACTGCTACCAGGCGTAACCCCCCACTGTCCTACCCCATGATGAATGGACTCCTCCCAGCCATGGGGAGGGCTCTCAGCTGGGAAAACACCCTCCCTGACTACTAGAAGGCTGGTGAAGCCTAACAAAGACAAGTTGCTTCCCAGTCAAGATGGGCCTGGCTTCAGCCAGAACGTGTCCTGTGGGGTGATGCCATAGGAGTGAACACCAGATACGCAAATCACAATGTGTGTGCATGAAAGTGCTCTAGAGACAAAAGGTAAGGTGGGTTTTTTTGAAGTATTTTTGTACCTGAAGATATAGGCAGGAGCTGAACAATCTCTCCAAGGCAGTGGTGCTTTGGGCAAGGCCTTTCAAAGGCTTAGACACCTGTCCTGCAGAGACACCTTTCTAGCTATCATCAAGCATCTGTCTGCATCAATATGCCTCTAGTCACAGGTTGCCCAGCTAAACTCCTGGTATCAATTAAAATGGAGGCTCTGGTTCTTTTTGCGTCACCACAAATAGCAAAATGCCCTGCTGTAACAAAGAATTAAGTTTCAAAATATCTTTGGTATTTATGTCATCCTCATGCCGGGACCCCTGCAGACTGTCCTTTGGACAGCATCAGCTCTGCTCAGGTTACCTGTGACAGCGGGCAAAACAATGGAATGGCCAACAAATGTTCAAAGGACCAGCACCAGCCCTGAGCCTGGCATGGTGGTGTTGATGCCAGCAGCCACAGCAGTTGTTAGAGTGCAACGCTGTGCTGTTAAACACACCAATATTGTAATAACATTTAAAAGCAGCCAATGACTGTTTTATTAGTTAATGGCTCAAAGAAGAGTCGAGCTAATATGGTAATGACCAATTTCAATGGGCTTACTGCCATCACAAACTATGCTTTATAGTTGAAGTGCAAGAATACAGTGTTCTTAATTAGCAGCTACTTTATGAATACACAAGCCTAGGATGTTGGCAAGTGCATCCCTACCTTATCTATTAATGACTGATGTTTTTAATCACTAAGTTCCCTTCATCAAGTTCCCAAAGCCTGCAGCCACCAATGACTGAGTTAAGCAACACAAACCTACATCCTAGACCACAGAGCAGACAGATTCCCCAGGGTTTCACACAGTGGCCAAAACATTCACCAGGTACCTGCACTGGCTTGTGCTGGGACTGCCAAGCACTGCAAACTGCAATTAATCAGGAGAGCAACACACACACCGGACAGCCGGGAAACCCCACCATGGTGGGGCTGGTGGAAGTGACTTTCCCAGCTAGTGATGAGCCATTGCTCTAGCTCAGAGCACAGGGCTTTCTGCAGGCAGGGGTCATCTCACTGGGATGCTGTATAAAGGAGACACTCAGAGCTGGCAGCTACTCAAGTCTTTCTCATCAGTATGTTTTAGATACCAGTATTAGCTGCATGGACATGAAAAACTACCCAGATCAGGCTTTTGTGATCATCAGTCCAAAGTGACTTTTAGTCTTGTTCATCCCAGTGTCATTACGTTGCATGACACCAGCTGGATGTATATAGCTGTGCAGCCGTTTCAGCCCATTCTTGTTTGCCTTTGGTTACAGAAAGACAAAGTGCGTGAAACTCGCACCACATTGCTGCGAAAACACCCACTACCTGCAAAGGAAGAGTCCTTCTGGCACCTGCCCCACTTGGAGAAGGTATGGAGCACTTGATTGAACTCAGGGACACCTTCTAACCTTGCTCACATGCCCTGGTAACACCCTTAGCACACAGTGAAGGTAGACACAAGGCTCTTACCTCAGAGCTCCCCAAGACCCAGACCCTAAAATGGTCCTGCACTGAATGTGTTCAAACATCAGCCCTTTTGGACTTCAGGGTGGGATATTTTTTGCGGCCATAAGCCCTGGAAGAGACACAGCAGTTGCCCAGTTAAAGGCCTAATGACTTATTTTCTAACTTGTGTGCGCTTTCATGAGCTTCGTGAGATTAGAAGCATCTTTTTATATCTCCCTGTTAGTACTGGGGTGGCCTTTGCTCTCTGCTGGTTTTCCTGCAACTACCCTACACAAGCAGGACAATCAGACCTGCATTTTGGTAGCCTGCCATTTAATCGGCTCTCACCATAACTAATTCAAACGACGTCAGATGTTTCAAGAAGCATTTTCACCCTAAGTGTTAGAGCTTTCTAGAAAGCCTGCACTCTTGACACCTCTCTAAACTTCCTGATTGACAATATTCACCCTGAGACTGAACAAAGGGTCTAGCCGGGTTACAGATATGCGTGACACTTCCTTTAATTGATCCAAATAAGAGCCAAGGTGAAGATTTCTTGTTCTAGCAATGGAATCTAAACATCTCCCTGAATCCATCTGCGCATCCTACTGTGCTCTGGGGTACTTGTTTGAATTCCGTTAGCTTTGTTTGTGGTGTAAATTACAGGGAAACTTCAAGTGAAGAGCTAGGGGGCATTTTAGGAAGGAAGGGAAAAGAGCTGGGCAAGCAGAATGGAAAGGAGACACCAGAAAGTCTGAAAGCACTGAAACCCTGCAGGGAGTTTATATGGCCAAAATCATATCTGGCATTGATAGATACCACTGCAAAGAGCCTCTCAGCCCTCCGCCCCAGCCCTTGTTCTGATGGGGTTATTTTTTTTGCCATGCTGTTGATTTTTAACTGCAGTTTAAACCTACGAAGAAGCCTTGTGACTTCCTGAAGCTAATTTACTTGTACAAGTTGGAGAGTTTCGACCAAGAAACGTGTTTTGCACCACCTTGATGTATTCCTCTTACGTCCTGTCTAAGACTGTCCGATTAGCATATGTCAGTAATCATTTATCCCCGCTGCCTGTCAGCACAGAGCTGCTGCTGCGGCTAGTGTCAGGGAAAGAACATGACCGATCGCTGTTAAACAGATTGTGTAAGTCACACGAGATGCTGGGGCAAGCCTCCTCTTTAGAGCTCCTCTCACCCCAGACCTTTCCATCACTATTCATTTTTCAGCCTGTGTTTTTCTTCATGCTTTCCCTTTTGTTTCATCCATGACTGTGGTTGGGTTCCTCCCCTAGCCACAGCTCTCAAACCTCTGAGTCTTTTCTTCTTCTCTCTGCCTTTCTCCTTCCTCTTCTCTTCCCTTCCTTCCCAGGAGCAGCATCCAGGGGAGGAGGGACAGCTCATTTTGCACAGCCTCTGCAGATTGTCTGTACGCCTCCTTTCTCATTACATTAACCTGGAAGGTTTGCCTTTCCCCAGCTGCAGATCATGCACAGCCCATGTTAGAACTCGGATCAGGAAATTCATTGCTCAGTTGAGTTTCAGTGCATGGTTTCCTCCATGGAAAAATAAGTTCTCTTGAACATCCATAAACACCCAGTGAAAAGCAGCAACAACCCAGAGAAAGCTGACGGTTCCCAAAGACCCTTGGTAGCCTCCAAACTGTGCTTTAACTGTCTCTGTAAAGTTGGGTTCTACATAGGTGATGGTGGAATGGTCTTGAAAGACCAACTGGCCTAACACTTCAACCAAACCCAGGGACTCCAGGAGACACCCTATCAATCCCTCCTTTACAAGGGTGACAACAGAGACCAGTGCTCCAAAGAGGTGAGGGAGCTTGTTCTTGCAGGGTTTCTGTCCTCCTGAAACCTTTCTCAGGCTCATCCATGGTGGTGGATAACTACTTTATGGCTTCTTTAAGACTCAGTGGCCTGAGCAGGCCAGCTGTTGGCACTGACCACTGTAGACAGTTTACTAAAACACTGTCTTTAATCCATATAAAGCTCCCATCCTACTGCGCAAAAGCAGTATGAAAAGCAACCACAAAAATATCACTTTACAGAAAACTTGTTAGCAGACTCCCATCTGCATATTATTTCCTACCAGCCTTCAGTGACATTGTTCCGCTCTGGCCATTACAGAGGATGCTCATGACCTGGGAACAATTTCAAACTCTGGGCAAGAACATTCAGAGACTCTGTTGCCCTGACCGCAGCCCCACTTTGGACTATTTCTCCATGTGACCTGAGGCTGGTGCAAGGTGCAGGGGTGTGACATGTCCTCAGGCCACTCATCCTTCTTGTCACTCAGTCACCCCCTGTCATCTGGCATGATGCCTTTCAGTCTGGCCTGCTCTGGTGGGGGAGCAATGCAGAGCACCCAGCTACTGAGATGGTTGTAAATCAAAGCAGGGAGCAGCAGGAAGATGACATTTTGTTCCTTTAGACCCATAAAAATCAACAAGGAGGACTTTTCTATTCCCATCCTGACCCCTTACAGAGAACTGCAGGAACTGAGCACGGATGTAACTACTGGCCCTTAAACTGGACTTTCCATTCAGTCCCTGCAAGACTATCTCCTGGCACCACGCTAGAGCTTGCAGAGGAAGAAAAGAAAACAAAGGAGCTTTGCCCTCCCCACTAATTGCTTCTGCTTGCTTCCTGCATTGCCAGGGCTGCATGACATTACATAGTCATTCAGTCAGTAAAGTGTAGACAAATTGACTATATTTTCATTTGGATTTAGGTTTCAGCCCCACTGCTTTAGAATAATGGCCCACGCTATTAAGCTAACTGGGTGATTTACAGGCTCTCCCATACCGGGTGATCGCTCCTGCTCTGCGTCTCGCTCTGGAGGACCGACCTGGCGTGTGGTCTCCTGGGCCCTCCAGCTCGCTAAGACAAACAGGTCACAGGGAGCCAGTCATGTCCTGATGGGCAGTTCATTAAGGAAAGTTGCTGAATTGTAGGGTTTTCATTTGTTTTGTGTTGTTTTGGTTTTTTACAAAACCAAACAGAAGTTAACTCCTTACTCACCTCAGCAAGATGCTTCTACTGCCCTCCTCTTCCTCAGTCATGCCCCAAGGCAAATGGCCTCTGCCTTGCTCTGCTTGCAGTGACATGATTCCTGGGCTCAGGTTTTGCCAACACAGCTGGGACTGTGCACCAAGACTTCATTTATTTGTAGATGTGGGACTACATTCCCTGAGGACTGTACCTCAAGCACCTAGCATGGACATAAATAAATATTCCTGTCCCCCATGTTCATGGGGTGCATCCTGTCCCTGTGGCACTCATCACTAGCATCATCCTGGCCCAGGCAGAATGGCATCCCTGGTGTCAACCAAACTCTGGAAAGGATGTTGCTGCCACAATATTGCATCCCCACAGCCTTGCCTGTGCCAGGGTGAGGCTCCAGCTACCTCCATTTGAATATTTGGCAGTCACAATCCAAACCAGTAAGTCAATGCTGGCTACTCCGCAATAGATTTCCAGGGTTCTGTCAAGTCAATCCAGAAGGATTCAGGTGGCGACACCTCATGCAGCAGTGATGTAGGACAGAATTCACCCATGTGTCAAAATAGCTCCACGCACCACATGTCGCTGACACACACCAGGGTTTTTCCTTTGCTCATTAGAGAATTCCAGCTTGCACAGACATTCAAGGTGGCTTTCCAGGGAGAATAGTCTTGTTTACTTGACCAGACAGGGGGAGGATAGAAAATGCAGCAACTTTGGACAACACTTTTGTCAACACACGCTGCCTTCCCGAGCAGATGAAACGAGCTACACTCAATGCGCGATATGAATAAGCGATAAGCAATTGACGAGCAAGTGTTCGGGTACCTTGGCAAAAGACTTAATTTGCAACCTGGCACAAAATCAAAGGCTCTGTCAACGGCTGAGCGGCTCTCCCGCGTATGCCTTGCGTTACCTGGGAAAGCTCTGTCAGGTAAATTTCCACTGAAAGTAATTAGAGGAATCCCCACTGTATAAACTTTGCAGCAAAATTCTGGGCTCCAGAATTTGATTCTCACCAGGGATCCGATATCTGCTCACAGCCTGATCCTTCATCAGAATTAACAGTTGAGGTTTAACACATACACACAAAAATGTTCCACATTTTTTTTTAATGCCTTACCTCTATTTTTGTCTAAAGAGCTGAACTGACAAGCACAGCTCATGTAATCTTGCAACTGTTGTCTTGTCAGAAAAGCCATAGACTCTGCTTAAATAACCTAGGCTTGATACGCAAAGCACACAGTGGGCTGGCTTTCCAGATACAGCATTTATCCTCCCAGGTTTGAGGGCAGCAAAACTTCATGGAGCTGGAGTGTTATAAAACTTGTCTCCTGGGGCTTAAATAGGGCTTAAAGACTAGAGCAATGAGTTCAAGAGCTTTCTGTTGCCATGGTACCAGATCAAACCTCCCTTCAGCTGGGATTTTGGCTGACCAAAAAAAAAAAAAATCAGTGTCACCCAATGGCTGTTCAATGGCCCAAGTGACATGAATTGGTGGGTCCCAGCCCCGCAGTGACAATCCAAAGCAGCACCGCTGGCCTTCAGTGATGACCTGCCTACAACAGGCACAATGCGAAAAGAAAATACAACACCCTGCAGGGTTCCAAATGGGCAGCAGAGACCCAGCTACCCCGAGCATGATCCCTGCACCTCTCCACCGGGACCACAGCAGAGATGCCACCTCCCACACCACAGCCATTCTGTGACTAAATGCAGCCTCCAGGTGCCAGTCACCATCACCACATATTCTTGCAGATTCTGCAGGTTTTCTCATTTTGCCTAGTAGCTGAAGCTTCCAGCAATGCAATTGCTCAAATCACAGCAAAGCATTTCCATGGTCCAGCCTTTCCCAGTATCCCTCTGCATGTGCCCTGGACACTCAACCTCTCCATCACACCCTACTGCTGCCCTTTGCCATCCTTAGCTCTTCCTCGTGTCTCCCTCAGAGACATGGTAACCCATCATTCCTCCACTATTTTCATTGCTTTCCAACATCTCCTGATTAACACAAGAAAACACCACTGCTCCCTGCACAGCCGTACAGCCTGGACCATCTCCAGAGCAGGCTCCACCTCGATCCAAGCCCTGGTGTCCAAAGGCAGCACAAGGAACTGCTGGCAACCAATGTCCATTGCTGGTATGGAGATATTCACCCGTGAAGGAAGATACTTCAGGTGCTTGCAGCCTCACAGTTTGCTGTAGAGTAAACCCCCAAGCTCTGTGTTGGGTTACAGGTGAGCACCAACCATTGCTTTCAGTGCTACATACTGTTTCGTACACAAATCCACAGAAATGCTTTTTAAATGGACTTGGGGTTTCATTCGTGGACCTATTCTGCCTTCTGCAGAGATGCTATTTACCAACAGACAACTTAGTTTGAAGTAAAGCTGTTGCTTGGCATGAAAAGGGTCAGGATTCAAATCTCAGAAACACATGAGGTCGGCAAGAAAGCTGCCAGCTCTGGTCTGACCCCGCTTCACCTGCCAAGGGAGGCACATGCTAGGTTACAGCTCCAGCGGTTAATTCTCCTTTACTCACAATATTGCCCTGACCAAGTGACCAGTGAACTCCAGTGAACATCTGTGGCCCTTATTTTCAGGAAGCAAATAAAAAAATCCCAAATCTCCATGGGGCATTAAATACAGCAGCCAAAAATTGCTGAGCACTTTTTGAAGCCTTTCTGGGTTTGAGGTAAATAAGGTTCATTTAGCCCAGACTCCCTTGTCCTGCATTTCCCCATTTTCTTAGAATTAGAAAGGTGAGGGCAGAAAAATCAACCCCATTCATTAAACCAGTTAAGCGCACTACTGCCACGAAAAGCCACAGTATTTGTAACCCTAATAATCCAACACACACCTCCAAGCTCAGCTCATCTTGGACGGAATAACGTCTGTTTTAAAAGTACCTGCCTCTCTCTAACTTGTCATGGCATTTGTTGACAACCCTATTGAAAGCCGCTCTCAATGCAGCTGTGAAGGATCTTTCAGCACCTCTTTCTCTTTCCTAGACAGTTTTTGAAAGGGAGGGGAGAAAAAAAAAAGCCATCAATACAGGGGGAAAAAGGCATCAGCAGCCAACATCAGCTGATGAAGCGCCTCACCTGGGCCCCCAGCACACCGCCTCCAATTAAATCAAAATGGTTTGTTTTTAATGGTCTTTTACACTGACAAGTGGGCTATCATTCCAGGCCTAGAGAGCTGTCAGGGAGCCGAGGCAAATCCTCCGTTGATAATGCCCAATGCTTCCAATTAGGAGCCGAGGCCGCTCCTGGCGCACTAACGATTCCCCAGCCTCCCCCAAGGCCCCTTCGGCGCTGGCTGTTTCGTCTTCCCTCTTCCTCCGCCGCAAATTACTGACACAAAACGGAGGCGCCCCGGTGCCTCCTCACCACGCCGGGCCCCGGCCCTGTTGGATTTAATGAGGTGATGGAAGTTTTTGCGGCTCTTTCGCTAAATTCTTTTCTTGTTTGACAGCTGCTTGAGTGTTGACCTTATAAAAGATTTAGTGTTTCTCATTATTTTCTGTCAAGCTTTACAAGTGATAGCTTCACGGAAATCATTTGCATCTCGATGTGCGCGCGCGCGCGGTTTTTGTCTGTACGGGGATGCTCGGCGCGGCGTGCGTCAGTGTGTACACCCTACCTCTCTCCGTATTGTGTATTTCATTCCCTCCTCCCTCCCTGAAAAAAAACTACAAACATGGCACTGTTGTTTTGGGGGAAAAAAAACAAACAGGAGAGGACTTAAAAGGCCCAGGATTTGTTAGACTTCTGTAAATGAGGGGCGTTTTGAAAAAGGAATAGAGATTGGTTTCCTATAAAGAGAGCTCAAGAAAGTGTTTTGTCACCCACTAAAAGGATTTGATCAAACGGATGATGGAAAAACTCAGCTGAGTCTAGGGCCAGCTTTGTTGTTAAAAGTGGAAAATCATACAAGGCTGGGAAGCTGCCTTTGAGCAGGCGGGCAGAGCCAGGCAGGTGCTGGGAGAGGAACAGGTACAGCCGCCTCTCCCTGCGGCCGAGTGTGGATCCTTGCAGGGCAGGAGGAGAGCCTGGTGCTGCTTGTTACCTACTTCAGCCCTTCTCATGGGTTTTTTTCTCAACATCTCCCACAAATCATCACAAACCATTTAATCCAGCTATAATAATTAAAACTTTCCCCCAGAAGCTGAGCTTACTGACCACCCAAGGGTGCTCACAGTGCCCAGCAGCTACAGTACACACACCCGAGCACCCATCTCAACGTCGACAAGCCCAACACCAACAGCACGCACAAAACTCCAGTCGGTCGCTGGGGTATATGGTCTGCTGCTGTCAGGGGAGCTCTGCCTTCCCCGTACCAGCTTCGCCTTTCTGTATCTCACATGCAATTTATTACTTCTCCATTAACATACCTGTTTCTGCTTACAACATGCATGTGGTTGTACTAATGCTTGACAAGAGATTATTTACAGTTCTCCAATTTAAAACATTATCATAACTGAGAACCCAAATGAAAATAACTCCCAAATACATATTTAAGTTTTAGGAGTCATAAGGTTTTTTTATTACCCCTCAAATTCTTTGAAGCAAGCACTGGCATTACAACATCCCAGCTGCAAGTGTCCTGCAGGTTTTAATTTGTCAATAGGAAATGCAATGAACAACAGTAAAACATTGCTTCTAATCAGCAGCTAAAAACCATTGCAGCTCCATCATGCTGCAAGGAAAAACCACCAAGCTTGTGCCTACAAACTATATTCCCATCCTGCTACAGCCAGTGCTCCAAATCCATGATTCAGACAAAATCCTGGCATAACAGCCCATAACCACATCAGAGTAACGGTCAAGATCATCAGCTGTCTCTAGAGGAAGTACCTTTGGGTTCATCATTTAAAATATGAATTAGAAGAATCAGAGATGAGGATTCATCACGGGCATTGACTTCTCAACACCAGTCTCTGTCATAAGACCTTTGACCCAAGGACACCCTTATCTTGACTCTGATTACTGGCCCTCGTTATGAGAGGGTTTCTCAGTTTTTAAAATAGCACTTGTCCCCTGTCCTACACCTGGTGCTTCCCACTTACTCATGCTGAGGGCAGAAGCTGGCATCCCTCAACTTTGTCAAGGCTCTGCTAATTTTAATTACTGCCAGTTGTGGCTCAGTGTGACATTTCTCACCTGGGAGCTTTGTACCAAGACTGGAGTGAATGAACTACTTTTTCCTCCCCTGTGGCTTCAACCCAGTCCCAGGCAGAAATTTTCCTCTGCCCATTTCCCAGTGCTGGTGGGCAGGCAGCACGATGGGGAAGGCAGAGGCACATTCAAGAGAAGCAGCTCAACTGCCCTTACCTGCAGGCACTGGATTTTTCCAACAATCCCAGCTCTGAGGGAAAAACTCCCACATATTTAACAGGAGGCTGGAGTTGGGCCAGCTGGGGATTGTACCTGCCAGCTCCCAGGGGCTATCCGCCTACTGTAGCAGCCCTTGGTTTTGCCTCCCCAACCTTTCCCTCCCAGAGAGGGGTTACGTCACCACTGGTACTTGTGAGAAAGCAAAAACATCCAGAAACAACTGTCTGAAGTTAGGCACTCAAATGCATATTTAAGTACCTGAACGCCTTCCTCCGGCGAGGGGGAATAGCTAAATATGCTTTGTTTGTCTTGATTAATGAGATCACTAGCAAGCTTTTCAGGGCAAAGACTGCTGTGTATTTTTACATATGCAAAACCTGACATCCAGCCAGCCTGAGCAGGGTGGGGGAAGCGGGACGCAGCTCCGCACACCCACACAAGGCACAAGGCACAAGGGCATGTATGGCACAAGGAATTGTGTCGGGGCAGGTAGAACCCGTGGCCCACCCCCACCGTAAACCCACTCCTTACATGAAGACACACATCTCAGTAACTCTGCGTCTACTGTATAGGTTTGCTGCATGCAGCTGTGTGTAAACTCGACTGCTCACCCCAAAGGGCCCTGGGACTTTCTCCCCCTTTGTCAGGGGCATCTGTTCACCCCCTCCCCACCTCGAAGGTGATTCCTGGGGAGACACTGCTTGTGTGTTTGTTGGGCTGGTCATGCAAGAATCCCTGGCCCCAAAAGGGGCTTCCCTGGGAGCTCTGAGCCCATCCTGGTCCCCTCAGTGAAGCACACAAGTCCTGTGTTGTAGGAGACGAGTCAAATTTATTTCAGGGTCCACCCTAAGGCATGCCAGCATTTGAAAATGTCAGACAACAAACACACTGTAGTAAGACTACAGGATCTTGTTACTAGAGCAGAATAAGAATTTCACGAAGTCAATCAGAAAACTAGTCCTCATTTTAAACAGGTTAAGTGTTTAACTTCAGCTGAAGCAATGTCTCCCAAACAGTCAAAAACCCTTGTGCTAATCTGCAGTCTCTTCCCTGTTTGTGCTACAACCTATTTTCTTTGGCTGGCTGCTCGCTGTAACCAATCATTTATCTGCTCCTTTCGTTATAGGTTGGGCCTCATCTCAGTACTTTTCCAGACCGTGACGCTCGTAAAAAGGCGTTCAGTGCCTCCCATTGAGAAGTGCCTGTGAGATGTGGTCCCCTTCCCCAGAACATCCACACAGCGAGGACCACAGCACTGCTGGGCACCACAGCCCCTAGACACTGCAATGGCCATAGGCTGTAGGCTTTCTCTCTGGTTTTAAGAAGTTATGCTAATGCAGATATAGCCAAATAAATCATAAATAAGAGAGGAATTATTCTGTCTCAGCCTGTTCATTGCTTTGTGTCAGCTGCACAACGCCTTACTCAGCCCGATGACCATCATTTTCATTGTGCTCAAGGTAACAACACTCACACCAGGAACGGAGCAGTGTTTGCACCAGTGCAGCCCCAGAGGGAAAGCAGAACAGTCTTCTTCACTGTCTGTTCTGAACAAATACATTAAATGCAACCATATCCCAGCTGATATCAAGTCTATAATATCTCATAATCCATCAGTCCTTCCCATTTCTTTGCCAAATAAGCTTCCCATCACTGCCTGATTCAGCAAAGCCCTTGCCTATGTGAAGGCACACAAACACCTGCTTTAAGCATGCTGCCAAATTGAGGCCTCACCACAGAGCGATGCCTTCACTTGAAGATGGCTCCAGCCAGTTCCACACTTACCCTCTAATAGCTGCTGGTGCCTGGTGTCCCTCAGGGCTGAGCCTCTCCAGGCAGCTGCTGAACAAACTCAAACTCCACCAACACCAACTCAACAACACAGCACCCAAACCCCAGCTTGGTCACCAACAGGTGACAGCAGGGGCTCAGACAGGTACCAACACATATAAAATCCATCTCATCCCAACAGGGTGTTTCACCTTAAGAAAATATCACTTGGTAACAACTGTGATTACTTTAACTGTGCATCTCCAAGATTGCTAGAGCAATAATTAATTACTCCTACATAATCTGCTCATCACATCTACCGTTATAGCTCAGATTGTACCAGATAATATTTAAGTCCAATGTTAGCTTTCAGTTTTCATATTCATCATCCTGGTGGCACTCAGCGACCTCAGGTGTGTTCACCCCAGGATGGTCTGGACACCCCAGGGCCATGCTCTGAGAGGTGAGATCTGCTGTCCTGGGCAGCCCCAGCTTCATCCCCAGCTCAGGAAGGGGCCGGTAAAGCACTGCAGAGGGGGTGGATGTGCCCAACACAACTTTGCCCCACATACCTCAGCACGGGGGCTAGCTCAGCGCTCCTACATAGACCCACCAGCAGCCAAGGGACACAAAGAAGCCATGCAGAGCCCAGGGCTCATCCCCCACCAGATTTCCAGCCAAACCTGCTGCATCGGCACCCACCTTTAAAGCCAAACCTCAAAGAGTCCTTCATAACATTAAACTGCATTACTCAAGACACAAGAACAAAGTAAACTGCAGGGGCAGCTTTTCTTACCCTTCCCAGGACAAGGAAGGCTCCATCCACACCAGCTGCTCCAGCATTTCCCACATCCCCTCCTTAGGGGCAGGTTGTGTCTCAACCTGCCCTTTACGTAAGGAAGCAGCTGTAGCAAACTCCACCCTGCCCAGACCTGAGCCGAGGGAGGAAAGAAATTGCCTGCTCCACACCGGAGAAACCCTGGTATGCGGTTCCCTCTTTTTAGTACAGGCCTCTAAATAAAACCCATATAAAATAACTAGGAGGATAACAGTAAGTTTTGTCATGCTGGCAGGGGTGGATTATAACCGGAGACCTTTCCCACCTCCCCAGGGAGGGAGGAAGCCAGGCCTTAAATGACTTGTCTTGCTAAAAATGACACTGTTTACGTGTGTGAGAAACCCAGGCACGAGGTTTGCCCTGCTGCCTGGCAGGAGCCACGTCCAGCTCTTGGTCCAGCCACAGCATCTGTGTCCGCCTGCAGCAACTGCTCAGGTCCTTGGGGCATGCAGAGGGAAGGAAGCATCTCTAGCGAGTCCTGCCTCGCTGGAAAAGGGCTGGCAAACAAATGCGGTGTGAACCAAGCCCACGCAGACCTGCTGATTCGGGACAGGTCCAAGAAGCTAGCAAAGAGACCAGAAACCCAAAAATAACAGCCAAATCAAACGAAGCGCGTTCAGAAGGAGACACGGCTCGGCGGGGCTTGTAGCCGACAGTCCTGCCCTACTGTGCCCCGAAATCCCAAGCAGCCTCGTGTCCCAAATGACCTGAGTCTTACAGCTCGGCCGGGAGCAGGGGGCACCCACTCCCCGCTGCATCAGCACCCACCTGCACCCCATGTGGGGCAAGCCCACCCTACCTGGCCCACCCGGGGTGCCACCTCCGACTCGTCCCCACTGCAGCCCCCCGTTCTCCACCACCCCCAGCCCGTGACCAAGCTCACTGGGGGACACAACCAAGCCGCAAGCCGGGGGTCCGTGTGTCGTGTGTGTGTGTCCCCCGGTCCTGCTCCCCCCTTGCCCCGGCGGAGCCCGGTGCCGGGGTCCCGACCCCCTGAGCAGCCCCGGCCACCCTCCGGCGCTGGACGCTCCTTGTCCTGCAGTGACACCCACTGGTAAAGGGGATTTTAACGCTGCTGCAGGTTCCCCACCGCCGGGCCCTCCTCCTCGGCACTGCGACCCTCCAGCTGACTGTCCCCCCCCATCATTTCTGCCGTTTTCCCACCACCACCCCCACCCCGAGACACCCTGCCCTTCTCTTTCTTGGGAAGATCCCTTCATTTCGTTACCGGAGCATCCCACCGAAGCCTGTCGCTGCTGAGCATCCTTCTCTGTGCCTGCCTGGGCACGGCCTTTCCGAGCACCCAGCTTGGCTTCAGGGAGAAATGCAGTATTTCTCCGGGGATTTTCCTCCCTAAACCAGAGCTTTTCAGGATACTGGTCTCTGCACCACCAGCAGATATTTCTAGACTAACTCTTGCTACAGTCATGGCCACAGCTCAGCAGCCTGTTGCCCTCCAACCCCTGGCCCAGCTGTGGAGGTGTCCCCCAGCCCCGTCAGGGCTCTCCCCACACCCCAAACCTCCGGGGAACGCCTGGGGTTAGCCCTGCCCCATGGCCCCAGGGCCAAACCCGCACCAGCAACTGGTGCCAGGAGAGCCTGACCCTGTCTGTCGGCAGCACCCGGCGAGGTGGGATGCACAGCAGCTCCCAAAGCTGTTGGGGTCCTACAGCCAGCCCTGGGGTGTGATTGGGGCTTGTGAGGAGGTGACTGGAAATGCAGCTGGCATCAGGGTTCTCCTCTTGTCTGGTGCATACCTGTGTATCTGCGAAGAGGAACAGCCTAGAAAATGGGATTTAAGGGCAGACACACACAGGGAAGGCGGTGTATGTTGCTTGGTGGGCTGTACACGGGATTTCCTACCTGTCCTGGGAGCCACAGACAAATCATTTGGATCCCACTTGTCCAGTGTCCAGTGATGTAAGGGGGATACCACATATGGGCAGAATGGGGAGTCTGCCTTTCTGCCTTGGGGAGTCTAGTTCTGAAACAATTTAATAATGATAATATTAATAATTCATATTAACTAATGTCAGTCACATTGACATTAGAACAGGAGTAGCAAGTGCATCTGTAGCTGCTGGGAGGTCCAAGTATGGCCTAGGAGTGACAGTGTCTGTCCCCAGGGCCTTGGCTGGGGATGGCACATTGCAGTGCCTGCCCAGGGATGCGGATCAGACCCCACACACATACCCCCCCAAAAATCTTGCACAGCACCAGAGAGTGGGTCTGATCTGGAAACTTCCTTGCAGTTGTTTGAAGGCAGATGCTTTATTCAAGAGAAGGAAACACAGCAGCAGACCCACCAGCCCAAACTTGTCCCTGCATGGCTGATCCAAATCCTGATTCCAAACCCACTCCCAGCCCTGCCCCCTCTTCTGGTCCCAAACACAACCTCAGTACTGCTCCTGATCCCAGTGCCAATTTCCATCCCAAATGGGGTCTAATGGTTGGATATGGAGGCTGCCAGAGCCCAGGAGCCAACACAGTCACACTGCAAAGAGGTAGGAAACCCCATCAGGGTCTCTGCCCCATTTCTCACTGGGACCGGTTCCTGCACATCTGTTGCTCTGGTCCAGCCCCAAGCGACGCTTGGCCCAGCCGCACCTGGGGAGGCTTGTGCTGCAAAACCAACCTCTGGCAGACCAGGACCCTTCAGCCTGACCCCCCCAGTCCCTTGCACTGGGGCAGCACCTCTGTGCTGGGAAGGAGACAAGGCAGAGCAGCAGCAGGGATCCCGCACCCAGGGTCGAGGAGGACATGCAGCCCCCAGCACTGAGCATGTTCCCCCCCCCAGGGTGGGGGCAGGCTGGGACCGGGGTTGATGCTGATTTTGTCCCTGGGTTTATCCTCCTATAAGGCTCTTTTGTTCCGCTGCCCCCATCCCAGCCGGCCCCGAGCCTGCAGGGCCGAGGGCAGGAGGTGCTGGGGGCCCTGCCTGCGCCGCTGCCCGACAGCTGGCAGCCGGGCTTCCCGGGGACGGGGAGGGGGGGGACTCTCCCCTCCTATGATCGCCTCCAAGCTGCCGGCCAAGGGCGGCTTTGGAAGAGGGACAAGATGCAGCTGCCTGGCCGGGAAGGTGGGGAATAGAGGGAATCGAGTATTTGAGAAATAACCAACGACATCGCTTTAAAGTGGCGCAGCTTAGCGCACCTGGGGGTGGATATTTTCCTCATCTCCGCGGCGAAGGGTCTACCCCCCCCCCAAGGAAAAGCTCCTAAATAAACCCTCGAGGAGGCAGGAGCCAGTCTGACCAGGAGGAAGGTGGGAGTCCTGCGTGAGTCGGTCCCTCTCCAGCCCGGGAGAGCAACAGCAGCAAAACGCCCCCCCCGACGGGGCGGGAGGGAGGAAACTTGGTGCCTCCGGGAAAAACGGGCAGGGCGGGCAGCCCGGGCTGGGACCATCGGGCTTTTATTTAAAAAGGGATTGACGGCAGGAAAAATTCGCCCTGAGCGCGGTCCCTTCCCAGTTGCACCAGTAGGTACCGCCGCTGGGCGCTGGGAGAGCGGCAAGAGCGGCCCCGGCTCCGCCGCGCCGGGTGGGAGGCGATGCCCGGTGGCCCCGCGTCTGCTTGTGCTAAAGGACTTCTCTGCTCGTTCACAACCGATTTCGAGGGGATTCAACGAAATTCCCAGCTCCGAGGCTCACCTCGGGCTCAGAGCAGCCGCCTCTGCGCTGGGCTTTGGAGAAGGTTTTGGTGCTTTGCTTTTCCTTTTTCTC